AATCTATCTATCTATCTATCTATCTATCTATCTATCTATCTATCTATCTATCTATCTATCTATCTATCTATCTATCTATCTATCTATCCACACCATCAGACGCTGCAGATCATCACAGCCAGACTTCCAGCGTCTAACATAGGGAAGATATCGCGACCTCAGTGCTTTCTTGTCGTACCTCCATTTTTTTAACAGTGATAATGTGACTTCTTCTTAAGCTCACTCTTTGTTATGAACTGTTTTCACTGCCATTAAAAATGGAGATACGACAAGAAAGCACAGAGGTCGTTATATTGTTAGAGTAGAACCAAGCACGGCATGTGGCCCATAAACATCACAATCCCAGAACAATCTATATGTGAGACAGCGTGGTGAAATCAGGCGCTCGTCAAAATAATGAAAGTCAAGAAACTGGTATTTTTCCAACAGGTTTAGGAATTTTTATCGGATTTTGGTATTTTGGCTCAACACCTTTCAAGCCCTTTAAAGAACACATTCCTGTCTGGATGTTACTAAAAACGTTGATAAAAGATGTACATTTTTAGTTTCCACGGACTCTCAAGCAAAAGAAATAACTCAAAGTTGGTGGCCATTTTCTCGTTAATTTTACCTATGAAATAAGGCGACCCCCACCTTCTTCAAAAGTCAATATCTCGATTCGTTCTTATGTATATTTTTAACATCAAAAGCAAGGTAAAATGTCAGGCTTTAAGATGATACCAATAATACAATATGCCCTAAAATTGACGAACGCCTCGTCAATTTTGGACGTGTAGAGTTACTGGTATCACCATAAAGCTTGTCCTCTTGTCTTGCTTTTGATGTAAAAAATATCCATTTATCTTGAATGTAAGTCGAGATATTTGCGAATGAATGAGGTGGGAGTCATCTAGTTTCAGAGGTAAAATTAGTGAGAAAATAGTTGCCAAAGATTAGATATAGTTATTTCCTTAGCTCGAGAGTCCATGGAAACTGAAAAGGTACATTTTTTATGCCTTTTATCAACGTTTTTCCAGTAAAATCCACACAAAAATGTGTTTTTAATGGGCATGAAAGGTGTTAAGCCAAAAACAAACTAAACACAACAAAAAAACAACAACAACAACAAACAAACGAAAATTCGATAAAAATCCATAAACCTGCGGAAAAAATGCCAGTTTCTTCACTTTAATGATTTTGACGAGCGCCTGATTTCACCACGCTGCCTCACATATCTCGCCACGTCTGTCTGCCCGTCCATGAATCCACCTATCCACCAGTCTGCATATCTTCCCATCTAATTATCAAACAGCAGAAAATATTCTAAGATACTTGCGTGAGTGGTTGGCGGGTGCTCTGGTGTGGTTTGCTTCTTCTTTCCTATAAACAAATATATATCGTCCTTTTCTCCCCTTCTTCTATTTTGTGTTTGTTACTCTCTTGTAACACATCTAATCTTCTTCACTTATGTGACCTTATTGTGTTGCAAGTGCCGTAAAACTCTTACTTAAACAATAAGATACTTGCCCAGAAAATGAAAGTAGACAAGAAGATGGAGTATTTGAGCACAAAGGCGATGAACGTCGCTCTGTGCAGCCGGATGTACTTCTTTTTCCCCGGCACGAAAAACTCCAAGCTGAGTGTGTCCTCCTCCACGTTCATGTTCCCGTCCTCTGATTGGTTGCCGGACTCCCCATCCGGGTCTTCCTCGCTCAGGTCTGCCAGCACAGGTCGGAGGTCAACGTTCTGAACCGCTGTGTCGCTGTACAGACGCCTCTTCTTGCTCTCGGCGGAACCAGCCTGAGCCAGGGGAGAAGACTCGGACACAGCATCGTCCATTGACAACCATCCTTTAAGAGCAGGTCTTTCTCTCCGATCTGTCCCAAGTTTGAACGAGCCGCTGTGGGCGGTTTTGGAGAAGCGTGAGTTTTCTATCGCCTCTGAGCTCACGGGCGGCAGCTGGTCGTTACTTTTTGTAGGGCTGCATGAAAGTGTGGGGCTTTCTAAAAAGGCGTTATTTGTTGCCCCTAGGTCCCCCTCTTTCTTTGTTTCATTCTGTTGTCCCGGCGTTTCTTCGTCAGAAATGTTATTTTCACCACTGTGTTCTTCGGAACAAAAACCTTCATTGTCTCCCACTGATTCTTTGACGTTCAACTCACAACTTGATGCTGTTCCAATCTCACAAGTGTCAGCTCTGTTTTTTCTTTTCATGTCAGAAGGGAGGCTGGACGTTCTGTGGAGTTCTTCGTGGTCTTGACGTGGTTTGTCGCAGCTTAAAGACAGGGACCTTTCCAACAGTGACTTCTTCCGCTCTGACGCCAGGTGATGAGTGGCGATTCCGCCATCGTATTTTGTGCTCTGGTGTTCACCATGCCCCTGCTTGTAGGCGGGCGTGTCTTCATTCAGGATAGTGATCACTTTGCCACCAATTGCGAAGGAGACATGGCGTTTACCACGAAGGTTGTCTGGTACCGTTGGCCCCGGGGGTTGAGGGCTGGATGGTTTGGTGGTGTCAGTAGCGCTTGTTCCACTGTGAACAGAGGTTCTCAGGCCACCATCGGCGGACTCAGACTGACTGCTCTTCTCATCAATTCTTGTAAGTACGACATCGCCTCCTGGCTCTTGTAAACGTATCGTTGGGCGTCCATCGGAGTGTTGTTCAGACCGTTTACCCTGTGAAATACTTCCAGATTCTGTAGATCTGTCTCCTGTTTCAACTTCTTCTTCCTCATTCTGAGACGTCTCGAGAAATTGTGGCCTCGAATCCTCATGTTCAATTGTACTTTCATTTTCTGAAGACAGACGTTTCAGTTCAAGAATGATCTGCTTCACCTCTTCTTTCGAACATTCTAAATCTCTCCCTAGTTTGCGCGCAACCCCTTCATGATCAAGGTCCCAAGAGTCTTGCTGATGTCGTGAAGATTCCGATGTGCCCAGTGCTGATTGATTCTGGCCTTCGCTGTCGTTGTTGGTACTTCTTGCAGCGATAGTATCAGCCAAAAACTCCTGAGAGTATTCATGGGAACTTAGTTGGCCTTCTTCTTCATCAGTTTCTTTAGAACAGGTTGGGGTATCCGCTTTGGAGACCCCTGGTCCGTCTTTGCTCTTCTTCCAAAATGGCGACTTCGATTTCGTGAATAGAGAACGTAGCCTTGATGCAGCCTTCGTTTCTTTTTCCGGGGCTTTGTTTTCCCCACTGGCCAATTCTAAACCAGTCTCGTTTAATAAACTTTGGTCGTTGTTTTCTCCTTCCTGTTTGCCCGAAACATAAGAGCTGTTTAATGGTTCAGGAGATTTTGTTGTTGTCTGCTCAGAGTTTTGTCTCCCGTCATCCAGTAGGAACCGTTGAGGCGCAGCAGTTTTCACACTGTTATGAGTTTCTTCCTTTTCCTGTACACTTGGACCCTTATTGAAGTTATTCATCCTTTTCAGGGCGCAGGTCAGCTGTAGAGCTCTGGAAAAGTCGCTCGGTGACATGGGGTTGTCTTCCCCTGCACTTTCTCCGACACCTTCAGATAGTGAGGCAATGGATGACATGGAACTGCGTTGACTGCCGTAGGAAAAACGGTTTTGAGGGGACATCGTGTTTATCCCAGCTGGGGAGGCAATTTGAGATTCTTGAGGCGTGGTCACATGCGGCACAGACTTTGAGTTGGGAAATGTATCACTATCAGATGGTGAGGATTTACTGAAAGAAGACCCACTGTTTCTTTTGTTACCATCAGAGCTGAACATCGCCAATGTTTCTCTCTGATCTGTTTCTTTGTTAGTACCATGACCGGGCTCCGTAAGATATCGTGCACCGACGTCCAGTTGTCTGTTGTCTGTGTGTAGAGGTGTTAGTAAAGTGACACTTTCGCCATTGTGGAGGTCAACATGTTCAGTGTCTTCATCACACGGCTGAACAAGTACGTCCGGAGACTTTGCCACTGAGCTAGCAGGAGTTTCCTGGTGAACGTTGTCCTGTTCGTGTGCAGAAAGTAACGATCTTTTTACCTCTTCTTGGTCTTGGGGAGTGACCGAGAGCGTGGACTCATCACCGAACCAAGTCTGAGAGGTCCCGTTGTCCCCAGACACGTCAGTGATCCGGTTGGGAGACGGTTCAGGAGAATCGCTGTAGACGCTGTCTATGTAAGGGAGTGTGTCCACCAAACAGTCTACGTCAGTCTCTGCCTCAGTCTCCATCACAGACCTGGTCAAGCTGGTCACCTAGCGGGAATAGAAATCATCATCATCATCATCATCATCATCATCAACATCATCATCATCATCATCATCATCATCATCATCATCATCATCATCAAGTGCCAGATCTGCGATAGACATCGGCTATCATTGTTCGTCTTTCATTCCTTTACTCGGGTGCTCTCAAAAGGCTATACATGTTATATCTTGATCTTTTCCACCACCTATCTGTTTAGGCTTTCAAAGTCTGCCCCTGCCTAGTTTACCTTATATTTTATCGGTGCGAGCCAGATGTTTAAAGCACATTTATCTATTTAGGTGTCCCAGAAACTTCATTTGTCTCTTCTTAATTGTTTTTTAAATCAGTATTATAGCCGTGTGACCCACGTAGGCTTCTTAAAGTACTGTCTCATATACGTCAATGACATAAAAATACGCACCTTCGGTCATTTCGAAAGCTATTCACAAACTGACGGGTTTTGGGTTTTGTTGTTGTTGTTGTTGTTGTTGTTGTTGTTGTTGCTGTTGTTGTTGTTGTTGTTGTCGTTGTTGTTGCTGTTGTTGTTGTTGTTTTGTTGTTGTCGTTGTTGTTGTCGCTAATGTTGTTATTGTTAATGTTGTTATTGTTGTAGTGTCACAAGAGCGTTGCACACAAAGAAAAGGAAGGGGAAAGATGAGGACGATAGATTATGTTTGATAGGAAAGAAAAAATGGCCGCCAAAGTCAATAGCTAAAGAGTCTTTGAAAACTGAAAAATTACATATTTTGAGCTTTTAATCAACGTTTTTCAATATAATTCACATAGAAATTAGTTTTTATTTGAACATAAAAGGGTTGAACAACTACCCCCCCCCCCCAAAAAAAAAATAATTTAAAAAATTAAAAAATTGATTATAACTGCGAAACTGGTGGGAAAATTGCCTATTTCTCCAATTTTGTTATTCTGACGAGCGCCTGATTTCACCACGATGCCTCACAATTTTCTTTACGTCCAGTTTCTCACAACTAGGTACTGGGCTGACAGAACTTTGTAATTTTGAGTAGTGTAGTTGCGAATGTGTAGAGCCCTGCTAAAAACGATGCATCTGAAATGAAAGTACGTTTTGTCAGCTTTTAGTTTTGTAAGAGTTTTACGGCACTTGCAACACAATAAGGTCATATAAGTGCCGAAGAATAGAGGTGTTACAAGAAAATAAAATACACAAAAAGAAGCAGGAGAGATAGGGACAATAGATGTTTGATAGGAAAGAAGAAGCAAACCACACCACAGCACCCGCCAACCACCGACCCGAAAAAGTTTGAAATATTGTGAAACTCAAAATCTTTTTACGTCAAATTTCTCACAACTAGATACTGAGCTGACAGAACTTTGTAATTTTGAGGTAGCGCAGTGGCGAACGTGTGGCGCCCTACCAAAAGAAGAACTGTCACCTTTACTTGTGGCCCAGGGGGCCGCTTACTCCAACAAGAATGTTAGAGGCAGAACATGAACTAGGGGATGAAGGGCAACAATGGCGGCACCACCATCATCATCACCAGCATCATTTTCAGTATTATCATCATCATCATCATGGTGGTACAGACAAAATAGAGAATATTGATATACATTATTTTAGGCAAGTTAACTGTAACCTACTTAAAACATTCTGAAGTGCATCGTCATCATCATCATCATCATCATCATCATCATCATCATCATCATCATCATCATCATCATCCTCATCATCATCATCATTATCATCATCATCATCTTCATCATCATCATCATCATCATTGTTTGGAAAGCAGAGTAGGAGGGAGAGTCCTTTTTCAGACAATACAACATAACAATATAAAATGTAAAAAAATTATTTAAGCTCAACTTTTCCTCCTCCTCCTCCTCATCATCATTATCATCATCATTAGCAGTAGCAGCAGCAGCTACAACAACAGCAGCAAAACAACCACAACTACAAAAGAATACTACATGTATGTACTTAACTTTTAATGCTAACTATAGCCTACATTACCTACTAAGGTTCATGTGCAAAGGAAGGAAAGTTATGAGACACGAAGAACATCAGCCATCAGTTTCCAAGCGAAAATGTTGATGATGCCTCATATGATGAATGCCACACGATGCGCGCTAGGTGGTGGGTGGGGTATCAATCTATTGTACGTGTCCTAGAGTTCTGATATCCCGAACTGAGCAGAGCAATACGCGCCCTTCAGCTCGATGAGGATGATATTATTCTGATGTCGCCCATTAATAAACGGCTATTCTCCAGGATTAGTGCGCTAAACGATAATATCAAGTCCACGTCAAATGGAAAAAATGGGAAGAGTAAGAGGGTTTTTTTGTTTGCATGGGAGTTGGGGGGGGGGGTGTTACCCATAGACAGGGTAATGGGACAGAGAGACTGAGTAGTTAGAAATACAACTATTAATAATAATGGTCAGTCGAGAAAGTAGCTATTGTTGAGTTATCGTACAGTTTAGGATAAGTCGTAGCATTTAACTTAGCATTTTAATCTAGAGGTAGAATAAGGCAAAGGCAAACAATGGAAAAGGACGGGAGAGAGGGAGAGAGAGACAGACAGGCAGACAGACAGAGAGAGAGAGAGAGAGAGAGAGAGAGAGAAGGGGGG